CAAATTCAAACCAAACGCATGAAGTCTAAATGCATAATAATAATGTAAAGGGTTAACACAAAAGAGAGAGTAGATTCTCTACTTGATAGAGAAAGGTCTTGACGAAAAAGATGGTAAATCTTAAGAATTCAAAACAAGGTCTCAGCAAAAATCCAAAAAAAGAGAACAATTCCATCTTGAAGCTTCCTCTCCTTATTAGTCTTGCTTGGCAGCAAGAGCAGCAGCTTGACCTCTGAGACGACCAGTCCTCCTTGCAGCAATAAGACCAACCTTTTGTCCAGGTGGTGCATCACGACGAACAGTACTTGCGTGACCAATGTGCTGATGGTTACGTCCTCGGTGAGGATGCTCAACTGGATTCATAGCCACACCACGAACCTTAGGCCAGCAGTTTCTCTTCACACGGTACTTGTGGTACGCGTTACCTGCCTTAAGCATCGGCTTCTCAGTTCTTCCACCACCAGCAACTTGACCAATCATGGCCCTGCATCCACTTGGGACAATCTTCTTTGAACCAGACGGCAACTTAATCCTGTCAAATTCAAGCACAATATAAAACTGTCAGAACAAAACTTTTTCAAAGTAAAATGCAAATCCATTGAAGCTTAATCCCACAAGAATGGTGTAGATACAACTACTATTAGTACTAAAGTTGCAGTAGAAAATACTAGTACGTACTTCTCAAAAGCCATTTTATAGTACCATTTCTTCAACTTACTGTAACTAGACAAGTCTCAATCTTTGAGATGAAGAACACAAGCAAATGATGAGCACACTTTTCTATATACCAAATGATTCATAACAATTCAAACAGAGCTATACAGTTTCTATGAATCCAATCACCAGCAAATACATTGAAACTTGACAAGAACAACAAGAAGATTAATATTTGCATCAATCTAATCCAAAACTCAACTTCCACGGGCTAGATGTTGGCAGAGGCTTTCTCAGTCGCATTATGAAGGAGTTCAGAAGCAAAGGAACCACCCCGTTCATTGACAATGAAATCAAGAGGAGCGAGGTCATAGATTCTATCAGAAGATCGAGAATCGCGATTGTCATGCTCTCAAGGAACTACGCTTCCTCGTCGTGGTGCCTCGACGAGCTGGTGGAGATTATCAAGTGCAGAGAAGAATTGGGTCAAGTAGTGGTGCCCATCTTTTATCGAGTGGATCCGATTGATGTAAAGAAGCAGACCGGAGATTTTGGGAATGTCTTCAGAGAAACATGTAATGGTACAACAGAGGATAATATCGAGAACTGGAGCCAGGCTTTGGCGAGAGTGGCTACAATCGCTGGTTACCATTCACGAAACTGGTACACCACTTGCATCTTCTTAATCTATCTTTAAGACTTCATATTTTCTTAAAATGGATGTTTTTTATCCTCCCCTTTCTTAGGGTTGATGAAATGGCTTTGTTTGAAGAAATAGCCACTCATATTGCAAACAACAGGCTCTCTCTCTGCCCTTTTGAAGATCGCCGAGTTTCGAGCAGAACATCTCCAAGAACAAGCTATGATCACACTCAAGAACCTGTCTTCAAGCAATGAGATTTGTCTGGAAATGGTATCTCTCGGTTTCGTCCAGAAGTTCACATCATTCTTGCAGCAAAACGTTTTCAGCAAACAGTCGATCATCATTCTGAGAAACCTCTGCAACATCGAGAAAGGTCGGGTTTGCATTACCGAAACCAGGGGTTGTTTAGCTTCTATAGCTGATTTACTCGAGTCAAATGTTCCCGAGGAGCAAGAGAATGCAATCTCCATCCTCCTCCAGCTCTGTGTGGAGAAGGTGGAGTATTGCTACCTCGTCGTGAGAGAAGGAGTTGATATTTACTCATCTCTTCTCTTGATATCCAACAATGGAACCGAGGAAGCGAAGGTGGGTGCAGCAGAGTTGCTTAGAGCTCTC